GGCCTTCACAGTACAAAAGAGAACAGATACGCTTTTAAAATGTGATGAAATGCATGAAGCTGGTAAGATGCATTAAAAATAAACAGTTTAATTTTAATAGGTATATCTTTAAGTTCACCCTGAAATACCTTCTTAAAGACAACCTCTTCAGGGTAATTTTAGGACACTCCCTTAAGCAAGTATGGGAGAGCATTGCAAGCCATTCTTGATTTGATCCATGTAATTGAAAACTCTAGATACCAGTATCAAAGTGTTTTTGTTTACTTGTTTGTGTATAACTGGTAATATGTATGTTAGGAACCTAGTTTTCATTTCAAAATAAATAATAATGTCAGAAGGCTATGATAGTAAAGCTCCTGGAAGATAAATGGGCCTCATATGTTGCTCCTTGCTGTTGAGGTGTTGGGCTCTGACTTCTCAAGAACAAATGGCTGCACTGGCTGGCATCATTACTAATGTAACATTTCAAGTTTGATACTGTGTCAGTGGGAGGCTGAAGTTTTTACAAGATAGCAGAATTATCAAAAATCTTTTGTAAATCCTGTGTACCTTTTAGAAATGTTATTTTTGGGCTTATCAGAAGCTTCCTAAAGAGAGAATTCGGCTTTCAGCTTGTTTGGAAGCTATGACTTCATGGTTGCTCTTGCGTGAAAAGCAAGAGTTAAAGCAAACAAGAAGTATGTTTTTGCTACTACTGAAAGGCCTGTGTCTGTACCATCAGAGTAGGTAGGTCTCCCACCAACGCGATTACAGGAGTTCTGACTCAAAGGGCGGGAAAAAATAGCATGACACTTATCTTGTTAATGGAGATTAACTCAAAGGCTGGAACAGTGGACTGCCTTCCCTGTTGCTGTTTGTGGGAGGGAGTGCCCACTCAGTTGTGGGGAGGGGGGAACCAGAAGTAGCATGTACACTACTACCCAAATGAGATTGAACTCTAAAATTTCTTAGTCTCCTAACAGGCCGAAATGAAAGTTGAAAGTTAGGATTGCACTCTGGTAAGAATTCTAACCTGCTCCAGCAGCTAAAACAGCAATTCTCACCAAGGCGTTTCCTTATATCACTCGCTAATACACTTATATTTGTACACGTTTACAGTTTTCTTATTTCCTGTTCTTTCTCATAGTTTTTGTAATGTGATTGTCATATGTTTGGGCTGCATTGTTGGATGTAGATGCCTATGTAATAGTTCACAAATAAAACTTGTACAGCCTAGTGCAATGGATCATATTATATGAAATATACATTCCATATGGAATGAATTACACTAATTTTAGCATTCAGTTGGCTTCCGTATGCAGTATGGACTAGTGTGTTGACAGAGCTCTTGTTTAATTCCGGGTGTCCTTTCCACTGCTTTGTGGGAAACGAAGATTTATCTGTTGTCCACAGCCCCACCTTCATAACTATTTATTCCCTGGTCTCTCACCTATGAGAATTAAAATCACAATCCGTTCTTTATATGTATCATCACACTTTTTTGTGTGAATTCTGTTCAGTGATATTTTGCTTGCTGATCACATATGTGAAAGTTGTTTACTTGATTATTTAACAGTTTATATGTGCTTTAGTGTAAGGGCTTGATCTTGAGCTGTGAAGCTGACCAAGCTGGGATTTGACCAAATAATGAAACACCACCCTGAACAAAGGATTATCAGGTCACACAAGAAAAGCTAAGGCATCTCCATTAGAACTCGGGTTGAATTTCACAGAGAGTGTCAACCCTTGCCAAGTCTAAATTTTAATTTAGTGATGTTTACTAGGTTTCTGGGCTATTTCTGCACTAAAAAATAGTGCCTTGGAGGAAGCTTTTGGGTGTTGAAATACAATTTGTACTGTAAACTCCTAAGAGTATTCCCTTGCCTTCTGATGGGTGCCAACTAGCAGTTTTCCAAAGAGCTGTAGGCAGAGTTTGACATTAGAGTGTTCCAGAGACTACACCACTAAGGTTTTTTTGTACAGTCACACAATTTTAATGGGTTGGAGGATATGCTAGCATAATTATGAGCTGTACCAGTTGGCCTTTACTGTCAGAGACTGCTCCCTGGCCAGTTAAAAGTATTGGCACACACAGAGATGTAGAGTCCAAACAGATCACTTCATTGGCAGCAATAATCAGTTCACTGCCCTTTTCAAGCCTTAACTCATTGAAATCAGCAAACTGGAAGTTTCCTTCTTGGGAACCCAATCTAGTCAGAATGCTTACACTGGGCTAATAAAGATCCTCATACAATTCAGCTGCTTATGTCTTCTTTTGAAAACACTTTGAAGATACTGTTCATAACCTGTGTATCTTGACCTGATCATTAACTATCCTGCTACTAGCTTTCTAATGCCTCTATTGCTGAAGGGCTTTCAAATACACATTATCCAGTTTCCACAGGAGTGCCATAAGGTTCACTTTAAATATTATGATAACCGTCCCTCCAAATGGAGATCAGCTCTCTGTTTGGAGACTTACCTTTAGGCAGCAAAGAACTGAAGTTTAGCATGAAGATCAGAACAGGTCACTTGTTACAATATTTACCTGCTGTGCCTGGATATGGTCATGTCTAACTTAGTTTAATGCTGAGTATGTGCAAGTGATTGGGAAGCCTTGACTAGAATGTGGAATCACCATGCCACCTGGAGAGTGACACTGAGTGAGTTGTGGTGGCTCTTTTGAAAGTACTTGCTGTCATGTTTGTTCTTTGTCGTTTTTAATTTGTAGTCTTTGCTGCAGTAGTGCACTGGAAGAGCAAAAGGCTTGTCATGTGTAATGACTGGGGGTCAATAATAGTTTCTATGTGCTTTTATTCACAAAACCCCCTTTAGTTAACTGAACTCAGCCTGTACGCATAATCATTCTGCGTAATAATATTGATTAGAGCAATGATGTTCCCCCTTATGACAGCCAGCCTTGCTATTCTGATGAATAACAATGCAAATGAAAGTGTTTACTGATAGAATTCTTCTTGCCCAAAATCTCTAAGAGTTCATTTATTTATTTTTATTTTTAGGATTGTTAGATAAAATTGTTTGAGTGGTAGTAGTCAAGTGGTGGAAGAGTCTGGTCCAGTTTGGGCTGGCTGTTCCAGTTGGTACCCTGATCATAGACTTACTGATTATTCTTGATTATCTCACAGGTGGTGCTATTCTGAAAGTAAGAATTCAGGCTTTAGTCTTTTCAAAACTGGTGTGTTTTAATGAAATGCTCAGGGTTTGATTTGGAATATTTGTGAGGAGGATTCGCTTACCTAATATAGGTTTCTGGTGCCAGTTTTAGATGGTATAATGTCTCCTTGCTACTTCAGAATGACAAGGATCTCCTGCATCCTGTGTCATGTCTGCTGACCCTGTGTGCATGACTCATTTTGAAGCATCTCAGTTGCTACTTGATGCCTGTTTTTAAGCACCTGAAATGATGCTTTTGTGTCAGAAACGTTTCTAATGAACTGTGTCAATGTAAAAGCTCAATGTGGTATTTCTTGGAAGAAAAAATTCTTAATTTGGATGTAATGCTGTTCATAAGAACTTTGAATTGCTACTTTAACTTGTGTCTTGCTGGTACACTTCAGCAGTGATTAGAAAGCCTCAAACTTCTCAAGTGAGAAGAAAAAAAGTGTCTACCTCTTTGAACAAGTTAGTGCTTTGTAATGAGTTCATACAGCATGAGTTCACATAGAGGTGGTGTGTGGTTGCTGTCCTGTCAAGATGCAGTTGACTCAGGATTGGAAGGTGACAAAAGGATTATCTGAACCATTGCTTATGAGTTAGAAGTGAGGGACTTAATATTTTTAAGCTCTGATTGTGGCAGTTAATGTGCAGGAGTAGTAGTTTTAGAGATGTATTTCATTTTTAGCATTGGTTAGTATTTAGATATTTTGTAACAATCCATAAATCTCTTTGGTTTTCTTTTTTTTTCTGCCCTTAAGTACTCCCTATATTTCTCTTGTTTGCTTGTCTTCTGTATTCTTAGAACAACTTTCTGATGGCCTGTGTTGAACTCTTTCATAAAATAATTATAAGATTTATCTGCATTATAGAGCATTTCAGTCTGCCACACTGATTCAGACCTCTGTGTTACATTTGTGAACGATGTGAACCACACAGTGCTCTGCCTACAGCATTGTCTAGCCTGAGAGGCAGAACCACATGCCTTTAGAAAACTCTTAGTTCTCTTTGGCATTAACAGCTAGTTTAGAGACTGTTAGTTGGTTCTGAGAATAAAAGCCTTATCAGAACTTAGGAAATTTCTTTCCAAACCGCAGATCCTCAAAACAATTTTGTTTAGAGTTTTTAGTATTTTTTTCATTCTTAATGAAACTAAAAATGAAAACTTTAATTAAAAAAAAAAAACAAACTAGTGCTGCTGATCAGTGGCAACTTTCTCAGTGCTACCCTTTCAACTAAAGCAGTAGAATTCAGGTGCTGATATACTCTGCTGCAGAACAGCAGCACTTAATTTAAGAATCTTAATGCCTCCTAAATACTAACTGTTTGGGAATTGTACATCAGGGAAGTCTGGAGGAGGGAAGGGAAGAATGATTAGTGTGACTAGGAGTACTGTTAGTCAGGCATTGTTAGATGTATTTGCTAATCCTGTTTCCCCTTATTTTACTGGGACTGAATGCTGAAAGCTTTCTATAGCAATGTGAGACAATGGAAAATTTTTTTTGCTTTATTTTGCGTTTGTAAGTTAAGCATATTACAATTGAAAATCACAAATTACAAACCAAACATACTGCAAGTTAAAAAAGCCCAACAAAAAAAAACAAAAACAAAAACAAACTGTTTTTTGTAGGTAATATAGCTTCAAAAAACTGTGGGTTTTAGGAGTGAATATCTAGTATTGTAACTAAGATTGGGATTAAACTTCAGGTTTTTTTGAGGGTAGGCTGTCATAGCAGTTTCCTCCTGTTTTGACACATGAAGAGTTCTAGCTGAGGAAGTGGTCTAAGTTGCACATTCTGCTTGACTTAAGGGGTGTAAAAAAGATACTTTGGTAGTTAAAGGAACGGATGGTGCTAAATGACAAACTTCTTGAATATGGAACGCTGAAGTTTCATGGAGAGATGAAGACTGAAAGGGGTGAGTTTAAGAATGAGAGAACAAGAAAGTAAGAGCAAGCTGTTGTTGCTCTGAAAAGGTAGCACGTTTTGTATTGAAAAACACTGAGTGCTGTACATCAGGTTGGGTTATTGCTGTCAAACGCACGAAGGAAAAAATACTGGTAAAAACTAGGTATCTGATATGTTCCTCCTGATTAATGATTTGGAAGAGTTGGATGTGTAAAGTTTTGCTTTTCCTCTTGACCATCTAATCACACACAACTGCTAGTTTAGATATGTTTGAGTTTTCATTTTTATGTAACTTTAAAACCATTTACTAACTAGTAAATCATAGCAATTGAAACTTCAGTTTTGTCTGCAGAAATTGAAATGGGCTCAACTATTTTAGTAGCAGGAAGAGAATTATTTCAAAGCTGGCAAATATCAGAAGTGTATCTAAAATACTGGAATGATTTGAAATACTTTGTTAGAAACTTTTTTATCTAATGGCTATTTAATGTAGTCTCTCCAGTTGTTAGAGCAGTTGTAGAGGTGAGCTTCACTGCTATTTAAGTTCCAGCTTCATATTGTTGCAATATTTGGAGGAGTATTTTTATGATGAAGGCTAGAAGGGACAATTCTGGATTGCACTGGTGGACAGATTCTAGACTCGCATTGAGAAATAACTTCATGCTGCCCAATAACTACTGGATAAACTAGACACCCTGTAAAGAGAGTCCTGACTGTCCCACTTATAGTGGAGGGAATAATGAACTTCCATAATTTATTTGATTATCTAGATAGTCTCTATTTTTGTGTGCTTTTTTTATAGCATGACTTTCTCATTCAGTAACTATAAACAAGAAATAAGCTAGCTATTCTGAAAATAGATGATCGGAGTCTCTTTCACTGAATACAGAGTTACTGTGAAAAAAGATCAGCTGGTTAAATTCCCGTTTCATGGAAAGGCCAGAGGTATTGTAGTATTTCAAAGCTGTAAATACAACAACAGGTTTGGTCTTATATATTCCAGGTAGTTAGGGGGCAAATATGTGAAAAGTAAAAATTCATGGTATCCTGGAAAAGCAGAGTTTAATGTTCTAGAACATAGGCTATGCCTTCAAAAGAAATGTTAATGCACAATACAAGCAGTTGAGCTTTTTGCTTTCTCTATCAGACAGAATTTGGAGAAGATCATTTACAACTTAACAGTATTTATTTTTCAAGATTGAAAATGTTCTATCACAGAAGAAAGAGGGGAACAATTTTTTTTCTTATAACTGCAGATTCCTTAGACTAATGTTTCTAGAAATTTTTCTTTTTTTTTTTTGCTTACCAAATTAAATGTGCTTTTAGAGCAATTATGCATATTAGAAAAAAAAGTACATTTGTCACCCTGTCAGTTGACAGTCTTCAGGCCAGCAGTCTTCTGTTTGCATTAAATAAACTGAAAAATGCTGGGCAATATTAATAGAAATGGGCAGCTGAACTATGAATAGCATAACGTTTTCGGTTTTTGTCAATCATATTTAGGCTTGATCGTCTCTTTATTTTACTGGACACCGGTACAACACCAGTAACAAGAAAAGCAGCTGCACAGCAACTTGGGGAAGTAGTGAAACTGCATCCTCATGAACTGAATAATCTCTTATCTAAAGTAAGCATCTTTTTTTTTTTAATTGAGCATGCTTTCAGTACTTTAATGGTGAGACTAAAACTAGTTTAAAGGGCTGTGGGTTCTGTGGGAAGAAGAAAAAGCACAGTAGTCTTGTGTTCTCTGAAAACAGGAGACTACTTCTGTTAAACCTATGAAATCGTTACATTTTACTTTGCATTCAGTATTGATATTCAATGTTTGCTGTAAATTCAGATTTTCTTCTATAGAGAAGCTCTACTGCCTTATAAAATTTCTACTGCTTTTAAAGATTATTACTGATGTGATACACCATCAAAAAATATAGGAGACTGCGTGTCTTTAAAAGGACTGGAAAATTGAAAGATATTTCCTTTAGTTTGAGACTTCAATCTGGCCAAGTCCAGTAAAAACACCAAAAATAGTCTGTGTGACAGCTGGAGATAGCTGAGTGACCTCAGTTCTGCTCGTATTGAACAGGTGCCCTCACCACAATCGATGGTATGAACAGAGTGGCTAAGGAATCATGAATATCAAACCATTTTCAGAGAAAGACATAGATTTTTCCGGATTTGAGACCTATTGGTAAATCAGTTTAGAAGAGCATATGTTGCTCCAAGTGACTCATGTTGCCCCTCTTCTTGGCTTAAATGACTTCAGTATTTTAAAGTCTACTAATCTCTTTTGAATGCTTCCTTTTAGAAAGCAAAAAGCCAAAATCTTAAGCCTTGTTCAGTACCTAGACAAAATCAAAGTTGAGTTTGACTGATGGGACTAAATAAGTCTTACAAATTCTTAATGTCTGGCTATAGCAAGAGTTCTACTGAGCAGTGAGGAATATAGAGAAGGCTGTTCACATTTCTTTGATTTTTTCCTTGCCTCTTATTTTTGTTGTTTTGAATGTTGTCTTAATCCATAGCATTAAAAGTAATCGTGCTTTAATAGAGCATAACAGCTGATGGATTTTATGAAAGTACGTTTTCAACCAAATGTTTATTTATTTATTAATCTCTCCTTACAGGTGTTAGTGTATTTAAGAAGTACGAATTGGGATACTCGTATTGCAGCTGGCCAGGCTGTGGAAGCAATAGTGAAAAATGTACCTGAGTGGAATCCAACTCCAAGATCAAAACAAGGTGCTTCTTTAATCAATTATGTACAGTTCATTGTTTGTTTGATGCAAACTGACTGTGATATGAGACTTTTCAAGATACCTGTGTGATTCTGGGTTTTTTGACCATAGACTTTTTTATATGGAAGGACTTTTTGACTTCAGATGTTCGTATTCAATTACAACCATGCGCCTGACCTTTGTTTCTTCAAAGATTCCCGTGCTTGTGCTCTGTACCCTCATAAAGCTTTACTCTTATAAATAAAAGGAATAATAACTAGTAAAATAGCAAAGCTTTTAACCAATCAACTTTATAATGATATTTTGCAGATACTCTTTTTCTCTATTCCATGGCTCAAATCACCTTTCTGAGGGAGGTGAGGTGGCAGCTTGCTGAAGTCTATTCTGTTTTTACTCACTTTGCATCTGAAATTGTCATGTTAGGGATGTTAGAGTGGCTTTTTTTGTCAACTTATGGACCTATTGTCAGTGATTTTGTCTAAACCCTTTGGCACTGTCTATGTTCACAACCTTATGTGGCACAGGTTGCAGAAATTCACTGTTAAAAAAAAAAAACCTCGAAAAAAACCAAACCAACCAACCAAAAAAGACTCTACAAAAACCCCAAAAAACTCTCACCCCACCAACAAGCAACAACAAAACTCTAATCTGTTTAGAGGTGATTTTTGTCATTCAGTGCCTCCTGGTTCTGTTGCTATAGAATTTGATAAGCAAGTTCTGCATTTGCCTTGTCTACTACCTTTTTGATTTTTATAAACCAGCATATTTCCTTTCCTCCAAAACTTCCTTCTCCTCAGATTGAAGAGTTGCAGTCTCTTCAGTCTTTCTTCACAAGACAGCTGCTTTGTCTTTTAGATAACTTTATACTTCTCTGTGCTTTTTCTTAGTCATGTCCTCCTTGAGATGCACAGAACTGCACACAGTGTACCTACATCTCTAGAGTATTGATATTTATACATAGCAGCAAAATGATGTACTTTATCATGTTTTCAGTGCCCTTCCTGATGGTGCCCAGTACTTAGTTGACTGTTTTGGCTATCACTGCCCAATGAGCTGGTGAATACAGAAACTGCCAGAAGTGCCTCCAAAATCTTTAGTGAACGTTAACTGCCACTTTTGAATGCAGTGTTGTGTAGGCATGGTTTAGGTGTTTTATTTTTGCACCTTATCTGCCTCTTTGCCCATTAGTCTGTTCTGAGAGTCCTTTTTGGATTCCTCAGTCCCGTTGTGATGTGACTTTTGGTTGCCCAATAGAGCTTAGTGTCATCAACATACCTGGGGAAGAGTCCGTAATGAAATCTCCTTCCCATTGCTAAAGACTGATAGAATTGGTTGCAATACTGATCCCTGCAGGACTCCGAAGCTAACTTTTATCTGTTTTTAACCAGCTTTCAGTCTGTAAAAGGATGTTTTCCACAATTTTATGGTAACTTAGGTCCTTCAATTTTTTTATATGAAATTTTTTTATATGAAAACTTGTCAGAAGCTTTTGAATATATGTCCACTGGATCCCTTCTATCCGCTTGTTGGAGCTCTTTAAGGGCGCTCTTAGGTTAATAAGGGATTTTTTTCAGGAGCCATTCCGACTC